TTTTTGTTTCCCTAGAGGAGGGGAGAAACGAGGAGAAGACGGAGTGTGCTACGTCTCCTGGCTGGCCGCCATTGACGTCGGTTTTCGCGAGCAAGGCCATGTCGAAGTCTGCCTGGGAAGCACCCATGCGCGACCCCTGCAGGGGGGGCCGCGCGGGCGCGAAGTTTTTCAAGAGGAGGACGAGGCGGAGGAATGGGACGTGCCGGGGCCGTCTAGGAACCATGATCACTGGACGGTACGGTAAGTAACAGAGGGTGATTTTGTCTGGCGGCCACGCGGCCAGAGACCATGCTGGACAGCGGGCGCGCATTCTGACACGCATCGACAAGCTATTGGTGCGGTGGCGGAGTTTGTTCTCCTCTTCTCTCTCTCTCTCTCGCGCTCTCTCTGTCTTTTGATTTTTTCGCGCTCTCTCCCTCTCTCTCTATTTCTCCTTCCCCCCTCCCTCCCGCTCTCTCTCTCTCGTTCCATCTCTCGCTCTCTCACGCTTTCCATATGTGTATCTGTCTGTCTCTCTTTTTTTCCTCTCTCTCTCTCTCTTTCCACATATATGTCGGCGGTGCGCCGTGGCACGAACCCCCCCCCAGCACTACCGGGGGGTTTCGTGCACTACCGGGGGGTTTCGTGCAGCCCGCACCGGGTGCCGCCAGCGGCTTAGAACACCCCCCCCTTGCCGCTTTACCGGGGGGGTTCGTGCAGGCCGCACTGCGTCTACCTGGGCTCCCCCCCCCCCTGTGGGAGTGGGGGGGTGGGAGTGGGGGGTGGGTTGGGGGGGGGGCAGGGGGGCGGTTGGGAAGGGTGGCTCCCTGTCGAAGTGTGGCGTGTGCTCGCCTTGTGTTCTCTATTCGCGTCTGCTCGCCTTGGTTCCGCCGCAGCCTCTCGTATTGTGGCTCATGGCCACGATACGAGAGGCTGCGGCGCAACTCCCGAGAGCCGCTGTGGGGGGTCGACGGCACGGCCGCGTAGAGAAGAACAGTGCCGCCGTGTTCCAGCACGGCCCTGGGATGCAATGCCGCCGCCGTGTTCCAGCCCGTCCTGGTAAGATTCGCGCGTCGGGGCTGGGTTTCGCGCGTGCTGGGAGCGCGCCGCTTACGGAGGGGTTGCGTCCTTACCGGGGGGTTTCGTGCAGCCTACCAGACAGAAAAGGTCGTGTTTACCGGGGGGGTTCGTGCAGGCTCGCACCGGGAATGGCGCCAGCTCGAACCCCCCCAGGAAAGATTACTGGGGGGGGGTTCGCTCCGCACCGGGCACCGCCGACATACATGTATATTAATATATAAGTGGGTCGGTACACGTGCATATAAGTATATGGGTAAATAAGTTAAACATTTGAAATGCACACATATATACATGTGTGCTTATTGGCGCATCTGTTATATATGTGTATACAGATGTGTATATATATATATATATATATATATATATATATATATGTACACATAGTATCGGGGCGCATGTGTGAACCTTTGCAATGCACATGGAGGCGGCTGGTGCGTATCCCCTGTCTTCTCGATGCAGGAACTCGCTCTCTATGGTATGGCCTTCGGCCCATCCCGCCACTGTGCGGGTACGAAGCCTATTTGATGCTCGTTGTACTCTCGTGGGGGGCTTTCTCGGGGGCCTCTTGGAGGCAGTATGGACGCCTCTTGTGGGCCGTTTGGGGGCCTCGTTGGGCCTCTTGGTGGCCTCTTGGGGCTTCTTGCGGGCCTCTTGGGGCCTCTTGGAGGTTCTGCGCGACTCATGGGGCCTCCTGGGGGCCTCTTGAGGCGGAAGGCTCGGATGTTCGTTTCGTGCTCCCTCTTTGGGCCCCTTTCGGTGCCGTCTTGGGGCCCTCTTGGGCTATTTTGGGCGGTTCTTGGGTTGTCTTGGGGCCCTCTTGGGCTGTTGTACGGCCCTCTTGGAGGCCTCTTGGGCCGTCTTGGGGCGGTCTTGGGGCCTCTAAGGCCGCCTGGGAGCGTCGGGAAGCCGAAAAGGCGAGAACGCCGTTGGGGCCCTCATTGGGAGGCCTCTTGGAGGCCTCCTTGGGCGTCTTGGAGGCCTCTTGGGCCGCCTGGGGGCCATCTTGAGCGTCTTGGAGCGATCGTTCGGCGACTCGGGGCCTTTGGAGCGCCTTGAGAGCTTCTTGGGGCCCTCTGGTCCTGTCTTCGGGCCCTCTTGGGCCCGAACAGCGAATTCACGCGACAGCATTCGGGGGAACTCAGGGGTCACGCGCCACGCCCCAAGAGAGTTGGACCGAGGGGCTCCGAACCCTTCAAACAAATCTTCTGGAGTGAGGATTGCGGCTTAGAGAGGTAGTGAGAGGGCCTGAGGACACGTCCATTGCGTGCCCAGCGGCACGGTTGCAGATACGAGAGAGATGTATACATATCAGAGTGAGGGGGCCGAACGGTCATTCACTGTCCCTGGGTGCGTGGCTGAAGTGAGATTCCGCGGTGCGGATTCGTGTTGTTGTTGTTGTTGTTGTTGTTGTTGTTGTTGTTGTTGTTGTTGTTGTTGTTGTTGTTGTTGTTTGTTGATGTTTGTTGTTGTTGTTGTTGTTGTTTGTTGTCGTCGTCCCACCCGCAACCCGCCCCGCGACCCTCCCGCGACCCACCCCGCGACCCACCCCGCGACCCACCCGCGACCCACCCGCGACCCACCCGCGACCCACCCCGCGGCCCACCCCGCGACCCACTGAGAACCCACCCGCGACTCGCCATCCCCACGGAGCCCGACCCGCGCACCGCCCACACGACCAACCCAAGACCCACCCGCGACCCACCGCGGTCCACCCCGCGACCGCCGCGGCCCACCCCCGCGACCCAACCCGCGACCCGCCCGCGACCTAAACCGCGTTCCACTCCCCCCGGACCCACCTCGCGACCCACCCCGCGACCCACCCGCGACCCACCTTCGACCCAAACCACGTTCAAGGTACAAACCAACATTTTCGGCGCCTGCGGCGGGTTTTTTTTGCATTCCTTCCGGGTGGAGAGCCCGCGACCCACCCCGCGATCAACTCGCGACCAACCCGCGACCCAAACCACTTTCAGGGTACAAACCACATTTTTCGGTGCCTGCGGCGGGCATCTTTTGCATTTGTTCTAGGTGGAGAGACCGCGGCCCACCCGCGACCACGTTCAGGGTACAAACTACATTTTTCTGCGTCTGCGGCGGGCATATTTTGCATTCGTTCCCGGTGGAAAACCCGCGGCCCACCCGCGACCCAAACCACGTTCAGTGTACAAACCAAATTTGTCGGCGCCTGCGGCGGGCTGCTTTTGCAGGAGGACGAGGAGGAGAAGGAGGATGAGGATGAGGAGGAGGAGGAGGAGGACGAGGACGAGGAAGGGGACGACGACGACGTCGACGACGACGACGACGAAAAGGAGGAGGGGGGAGGATCGGGAGGGGGGGAAGAGGAGGAGGACGACGAGGAGGAACATGACGACAATGGGAGGACGATGATGGAAGGACGAGGGGGGCAGAGGGAGGACGAGGAAGAAGCGGAGGAGGAGGAGGAGGACGAGGTGGAGGAGGAGGAGGACGACGATGACGATGAGGACGAGGACGAGGGGGGGGGGGGGGACCGGAGGAAGAGGAGGAGGAGGCGGAAGGAGGAGAGGGGAGCCTGGCGTTTCAGGTGAGGTAGGAGAGCGCCGTCCTGAGGGAAAGGTGGGGGCCCGAGGTCCGCCACGGCTTAGACGTCGCCGCAGTCATGCCCGCGCCCCGCCCCCTCACTTCTTATCCGCAATCTGCGGGGTGGTACGTAGATATATATATTGTTTTATAACCGACTGCTGGCGGAAAACGGGGGGGGGTAATGACGGTTCGAAACTCCTCCCACCCCTCCGGAAAACCCGGGGGGGGGGTCATTACCGGTTCTGTACGCCCCTCCCCCACCCCCCCAGTTTCATCATGAAAGGGGGAAGGGTCACTACGGTTCGAATGCCACCCCCCCTCGAACTCGAAAACCGGTTGGGGTCATTACCGGTTCGAACCCCCCCCCCCCCTCCCCCCCCCTTGAAAACCGAGGAGAGGTGCGGACAGTGGTGGGGACGGTGGTGGTGGGGACAGTGGTGCGGGGACAGCGGGACAGTGGTGGGGACAGTGGGACAGTGGTGGGGACGGTAGTGGTGGGGACAATGGTGAGGACAATGGTGGGAACAGTGGGGACAGTGGGACGGTGGTGGTGGGGGGACAGTGGTGTGGGGACAGTGGGAATGTGGTGGAAACAGTAGGACAGTGGAGGGTACAGTGGTGGTGGGGACAGTGGTGAAGGCGGTGGCGAGGACGGCGGTGGGACAATGGGACAGAGGTACAGTGGGGACAGTGGTAGGGGACAGTGGGTGGACAGTGGGCAGCCTCAGTGGGTTCGAAACGGTAGTGACCCCCCCCGTTTTTCGTGGGTGGGGGGGGGTGTCGAAACCGGCAGTGACCCCCCGGGCTTTCGAGTTCGAGGGCGGTTTTCGAGTTCGAGTAGGGGGGGGGGGGGGTTAGGGGAGGGGGGGTTTTTCCGGGGGAAGGGTGGGGGGATTGGGGGGGGGTCCAGCAGGGGGCGGGGGGGGATTTTCGGAGGGGGGAGGGGAACCCCGGGTTCCGGAGGAAAAGGGCGGCAATTTTCCACTAAAGCGGCGGTGGATCACGCTCTCTCACATATATACATATACACATATGTGTAGGTGTGTCTATGTGTACGTATGTATGTATGCGTGCATGCATGCATGTATGCATGTATGTATGTATGCATGCATGCATGTATGCTTGTATGCAAACATGTGTTATGTATGTCCGTATACTGGTTCCCTGTATGCGTATACCCGTCCTCCCCCCTTTGGCCAGGACACGCCGCCCCAACACGTCCGTAGCCTGTTTGGGCTTTAGGATCCATGCATTCTTCGGGGTCACGGCCACGAGTGTCTCGGTGGCCGCGAGGCCTGCTGCGAGGTCCGCCATCCGCCCTCCTCGCGCTCCTGGCGGCAGCACTGGGAGGGGACGGTCGCTGGCCTGACTCGCGGCAGGCGCGAGGCTGGGTGGCCCAGGCGGATTTCGAGGACCTCGACGGTGGAGACGAGGACCTCCTGGAGGCGCTGGAGGCCGTCGCGCCCGCGCCCGAGGTGGACGGGCCCGTGCCGATCGACCCGTTGGCGGTGGCCCAGGGCGAACGCTACGGCAGCACGGGCAGCACAGCAGGCGGCCCTGAGCAGTGCCGTTTCGCGTGGCGGGCGCTGCGGGTCTCCAGCGCAGTGCCGCCGCTGCGCTTCGCGAAGGTCGAGTTCCTTGTCCGCGACGACGGCTACTGGGACTGGTGGGCCAGCCAGCCTGGGCAGCCGAGCGCGGTGACAGAACGCCCGCTCATCCACGTGTGCTCGGGGAACCCGAGCTCAGTCGTGGAGGGGCCGGGGACGTGCACCGAGCTGGTCCACGTGGCGGACGGGGAGGAGCTCGGCCTCTCGGGCCTGCGGGCGCTGTTCGTCGAGTGCCAGGAGGCGCACCCGGAGGCGGCTTGGCCAGGAGCATGCCTCGGGCCGCTGGTTGCCGCCGCAGCCCCCGCGAGGCCTGCTGCGGTGGCCAAAGCGACGGGTCGCCCGCCAGCCGCAGCAGGTCCTTCCGGGGCCCCGCCTGGCGCTGCCCCCTTCGACGACTTGCGAAGCATAGGAGGCTCGTCGCACGGCCCTGGCTCAGAGCTGGCCGCAGACGAGGAGGCAGCTGCCGCGGGCGGCCTGGGGGGCAAGCTCGCAGGGGCTCGTGTGCGCCTCGAGGAAGGGAAGCGGGCTGCTGCTGAGGACGTCAGCTTGGGCGGTTCCCCCCTCGGCGCAGAGGCGGCTGGCAAGGAGCCTGCGAAGAAGCGGTCGCTCGGGGACCTGCTGGTCGAGCGCGCCGTGAAGCTGACGAGGGCCGCCTCGGACGCGGGCCCCCGAGGGTCAGGGGACCCCGTGCCCGAGTGTGCGCCGCCAGGAGCTGGTCTGAGCGGCGGCACGGCGGAGCTGGCGCAGGCGGTCGCGAAGGCCATCCGCGAGGGCAAGGAGGCCCCCCTTGGCGACAGCGGCGGGGGCGGCCTCGGCTCCCTGGACCCCGCGGCGGTGCCGCGCGACCTGGCCACGAGGAGGGCCTTGTGTAGTCGGATGGCCGCCGCCTCCACGGGCCGCCTTGCGGAGCTGAGCCTGCAGCTGATGGCGGGCTCCCTGGGCTCGCAGGAGGGGGGAGGCGGCCGTCGACGCGACGGGCCCGATCGCGCTGCGGTACCTCCTCACGATCTACCTGCCGCAGCATCCGGTGAAGGAGATCGGCGTGCAGACGTGCCGTGTGCTCCGCACCCAGGCGGTGGACCTGCTGATGCAGGGGAAGACGGCCCACGCCTGCGACCTGATCGTCCAGCGCCTAGAGGCGCTGCAGGTGGCAACGACGGACGGCTCGTGGGCGGCGGCGAGGTGGTTGGTGCTGATCCCGCCGCGCGACGATCCCACGGCCATCTGCAGCGAGGAGGAGGAGCTCATCCGCGGTATCCAGCTCGGCGGGATGAGGTTGGACGAGCTCTCCGCGCGCCTGGCCACCGCCAAGACGCCGGGATGGGGCGGAGGCCCGATGGGGGCGCGCCCGCCGCTGGCGCCTCCGTCTGTTGGCCAGGGGTCGGCAGCCCCACCGCCGTGGAATGTCCTTCGCGGAGATGCGGAAAGGGATTCCCGAAGCAGCCAGTGGAGACGAACACCCTGCACCGCCTGCGAGCCCTCAAAGCTCGCGCGGCGGCGCGCCCCCGTCGGACCTGAGCGGCGGCAGCCCGCCGCCTGCCCCGCGCTATGGTGGAGCCTCCTCAGGGAGGGTGGCCGATGCCTCCATCAAAGGCGCGAGCCCTGCGAGGGATGCTGGTGGGGGAGTCCGCGGCGGAGGCCAAACTCGGGTTACCGAGAGCGGAGATCGTGCCACCCTAGGCGAGGGGGGTGAGGGCGTCGCGGAGCCCCCGTCGGCCACCGCGCTGCAGCGCTGGGCCGACGAGCTCTCCCTCGGCTTCGGCGTGAGCATCGTCGCGGTCGACCTGGCGGCGCAGCTGGCAGCAGCAGCGCGACGCCACCCAGGCAGTCTTGGCCACTTCGCTCGGTCGTTCAGCATGCGTGCGGACGCATTTTGTGGGAGCGGAGGGTCGTCGAACAGGAGGGTTCGGGACGCCCTGCCGCTTCCCCTTTCGTCGACCGAGGAGGTGGGCCGCTGGCTGGCCCACAGTGCCTTGCCCAAGGCCCGCAGGTGCCGCCGCCGCGCCGCGGCGCGGGAGGTCAGCAAGCAGGCGTGGCTGCACCTCAGCGCGGTGGCGCTCAACTATGCGTTCTGCGGCCGCTCGCAGGAAGGCTGGCGCCACAGGCTGACCCTGTCGAAGGCGCAGACGCGGGACTACGTGCATTCGAGGATCCGAGCGGCGGCCTTGGCGGAGGACCCGCTCGCCATGGTCGTGGTCCCTGCGATCGACGAGCTGGCGGGCGGCTGCGAGTCAGCGCACGAGGGCGAGACAGGCGTGAAGGCCCTCCCCTGCCGGCTCTGCGGGCTGGCCCCTGGCCTGCCCACGCGGGAGTGCGCTGCCACGCTCGACGCGACCGTTTTCGTTGGCGCCGAGGTCGGCGCCTGGCTGCGCCGCCCCGAGCTGGCGCTCTTCGACCAGTCCGACTGGCCCGACCCGTCGCCCCGGGCCCGCGTGAACGTGGAGACGGAGGCGGACGGGGAGGAGATGGTGCTGCACCTCGGGTCGCTCAGCATCTTCACCACGCTCGCGGAGAGCGAGCTGGTCCGCGCGAGGGGCGAGCCCGTGCTGATCGGCCTGTTCGCGGTGGAGAAGGAAGGCACCCCAGCGCCTGGCGCCACGCGGGTCACCAGGCTCATCCCCGACATGGTGCCAGGCAACTCGCTCCTGAAGGCCCACGTGGGCGAGGCGGCGCCGCTCGCGGCCTCGGCTCGGCGCCCTGGACGGCGGTCGTGATCCCCGACGGGAAGCTGCTGCTGTGGTCGGGCGACGACCAGGAGGGGGCCTTCTTCGTGTGGCGGGTCTCGCCCGCGTGGCACCCCTACATGGCCGTGGGGCGGCCGCTCGCGGGCGAGCTGTTTTGCCGCTCGGAGCCCGTCGTCTACGTGACCTCGGCTGTCATCGCCATGGGCTGGTCGCTTGCGGTGCCCGTCTTCCAGCACATTCACCGACGGCTGTGCCGCCTGGCGCCGCCCCTCGGGGCGGGGCTTCCCCTAGGCGGGGAGTGGTGCAGGGATTGCGCGCGGGCCCTGGTCGAGGCTGGCAGCGGCCAGGACGCTGGCTGGTGGCAGGGCTACATCGACGACTTCGAGGAGGTTTTGGCCTGCAAGCTCGCAGGGGTCCCGAGCGACCTCCAGCTGCAGGTCCGCGCCAGCTACGAGAGGGCGAGCGCCTCCTTCTCGGCCGAGAAGGCGCGCTGCAGGCAGCTGAGGGTCAAGCGCATGGGCGCGGACGTCGACGGCGTCGGCGGGCGCCTCGCGGTCCCCGCCTCCAAGGCGCTGGCCACTGCGGGCCTCTGCTTGGCCGCGGTGCAGCGGCGCCTGGCCCCGTGGCGCGTTGCCATGGCGGCCCTCGGCAAGCTCGCGAGGGTCTTCGAGTTCAGGCGGCCGCTCTTTGGGGTCCTGAACTCCGTCTGGGCGCTG